CATCTAAGCTGAAGGTGAGCAGCTGTTTTTCAGGGACGCTGTAGTTGTTTCCTGCACTGCAGATCCTGCATTGAGCAGTGGCTGGACACAATGAACTCCAACTCTTAGATTCTATTCAATGTGCAGCATCTCACCAGTAAGACTCTTGCGTCTGGAAATGTGCCAAACCTTCAAAGCATGCCACTATTTACTGATTTATCTATTTTTGAATTAAACTCGTGCTACCCACCCCACACTTCCAATTCACCACGAAGATAAGACAAGGCTGTGGATCAGACCAGTCGACCATCTAGTCCGACATCCTTTTCTCACAGTGGCCAACCGGATGCCGAAGGACCCCACAAGCAGGACATGAGTATGACAGCACTTTGCCCACCTGCAATTCCCAGCAAGTGGTATTGAGAGGCAGTCTGACAGTGGTGGTAGAACATGGTTTCTTGTTTCTGTAAAGGATGTGCTTAGCTTTGACACTGGCAACTTTGAATCCCGATCCGAAGAATGTACTTTCACCTTGCAATGGAAGCCTTGGAGGGCAAGGGGTACCCATTTGATGATTCAGTGTGATCCAAGGCATAGTGGGGCACTTGCAGACATAACCAGCACACCTTAGAAACCCTGCCACAGAAGCCATTATTATTATTATTATTATTATTATTATTATTATTATTATTATTATTATTATTACCCCACCCTCCTGGCTGGGTTTTTCCCAGCCACTTTGGGCGGCTTCCAGGAAAATATAAAAACAATAAAACGCCAAGCATTAAAAACTTTCTGAAACAGGGCTGCCTTCAGATGTCTTCTAAACGTTGTGTAGTTCTTTATCTCCTTGACATCTGAAGTGTGTTCCACAGAGAGGGTGCCACTACCAAGAAGGCCCTCCGTCTGGTTCCCTGGAACTTCACTTCTCACAGTGAGGAACTAGCAGAAGACCCTAGGAGGAGGTGTCTGGACTGAATGATGGGGGTGGTGATACTCCTTCAGGTATACTGGGCCAAGGCCTTTTAGGGCTTTGAAGGTCATCACCAACACTTTGAATTCTGCTTGGAAACTTACTGGGAGCCAGTAAAGATCCTTTAGGACCAGAGTTATATGGTCCCAGAGGCCACTCTCGGTCACCAATCTAGCTGCCACATTCTCTATTAGTTGTAGTTTCTGGGTCACCTTCAAAGGTAGTCCCACGTAGAGTGCATTGCAGTAGTCCAAGCAAGTGATAACCAGAGCATGCACCACTCTCGCGAGACAGTCCGCGGGCAGGTAGGGTCTCAGCCTGTGTACTGGATGGAGCTGGTAGACTTAACTGACCCGGGAGACCAGGGTTCAAATCCTGGCTCACCCATGAAGTTCTCTTGGACCAGTAACTGTCTCCCAACCTAACTGACCTCACAGGAAGGCGGCGTTCAGCTAAGTTTTACACAACATAGACCGTGGAAATTAACGAACATGACAAGGTTAGATTGCATTCATTCCAATGGCTGAGTAAAACTCAGCTGAATGTCATGCAGGGATTTGGGGAGAATAAAATAGTGAGTAGTGGAGAACACAGACGACGCCTTGAGTCGCTTGGGGAAAAGGTGGGAAATAATTGCAATAAATAAATAAATAAACAAAACAGATAAAACTAACTGCAAGTAGGTGTGTTTGTGGGTACTGAATCCTAAGGGGAAAGCAAACAACCTATCCTCAGGTGTACATTAAATCTTATTTCACTTTTCCATTTATAAGGCCTGAGATCCTTTTATAGCCCCATAGGATTTGGCTAATCATTTCCAGCCCTCAAAACCACCCACAAACTATTACAGTGGTACCTCAGGTTACATACGCTTCAGGTTACATACACTTCAGGTTACAGACTCTGCTAACCCAGAAATAGTACCTTGGGTTAAGAACTTTGCTTCAGGATGAGAACAGAAATCGTGCTCCGGCAGCACAGCAGCAGCAGGAGGCCCCATTAGCTAAAGTGGTGCTTCAGGTTTAGAACAGTTTCAGGTTAAGAACGGACCTCCGGAATGAATTAAGTACTTAACCTGAGGTACCACTGTACAGCTATAAAGTCTGAGTCTACCTGACAGCAGTTCACTTTGTATATTAAGAGCGGCTGTGAAGACAAATCTATCACTACAACAGTGACTATGGCTGGGAAAGACCCTGGCAATGTGACCCTATGCACGTCTGCTCTAAAACAAGCCCTCTTCAGTGCAATAGGATTTACTCTAGGGTCAATGTGTATAGGATTGCAGTCTTGAAAGGCACGCCTGTTTGCCTACTCAAAAGTAACCCCATTAGCATTCAAAGGATTGTATGCAACTATAGTTAGTCAAGTCCATTAATTTCAATTAATTTCAACCTGAGTTAGTAATGTCCATTCATTCTTAGAGTTGGAAGGGAGCGTGAGGGTCATCCAGTCCAACCCCTGCAATGCTGGACTCTTTTGCCCAACGTGGAACTCGAACCCACAACCCTGAGATTAAGAGTCTCATGAGGTACTGGCTGAGCTATCCCACCAATAGGTTTACTCTGAGTATAACCAACATTGGCTACAGCCCAATAGAGCTTTCTCCCAAAGAAATGGGCACAGGATAGCCACTAACTTGAAACAATCTTCCATTGAAGTGAATGGGGAACTTGGGCACCTGCTAGATCTCTCTTTATTCCAATTCCATGCTTAGGTTTTAGCTGGGTAGTGGCAGGCTGGGCAAGTCACCACAAGGGCCTGTTTTATATACTCCTCCTCACTCCTTTGTGATCTAAACAGAACAAGCAGATAGCAGGCAGAATGTGTCCTTCTATTGTCGTCAGATGTTCTTTCTAGGGTTACAAGAGCGCTGCTTTTAATTAGCAGCTCGTGGGTGCCGCATCTTGGGAAGGCGGCTGCAGTTGGGAAGCCAAGTAAACAGTCGCTCAGTGGGATGGGAGGAGAACGAGGGCCGCACGGGAGCCAAAATCTAAGGGCTAAGCAGCCCATTTGTCTCAGCTGCGATAGGCACGCACCTTGAACCTCTCTAACACTGAAACGCAGCCTGTTTATCTGGCAGCTCTGGGTGCCAGGGATGAACCGACAGCACTTGTGTTCCGGAGTTAATTAAAACAGTAATCTAAACGAAGCAAGTGCCTGATGAGATGCCAGCAGTACATACAAAGGCATTCCATCCACTGAAAGCCACGAGAGAGAGAACAATTGACACATGGAACTAATTGCAAAATGAGGCGCCACACATGCCGAGGTCCTCAAAGGATTTGCTCCCATAGGGAAGCTTAATCTGTTTCAAAGGGAGAGAGAGGGTGATCCAAAGAAAGCAGTGTGAAGATCGCAGCCACAGGCAGTCCACCGACATGGGAATCGCCTCACCAAGATTCCTTTCACCTCTTCAAGGCTGTTCCACAAAGCACATGGCGTAATGCACAGATCCCTTACAGGCCCAGCAGATGGGCACATGTTGATACCTTTTTTTTATTGTGCAACCAATGTACCTGGTGCAATATGGTCGCTGCCCCAAGAAGCTTACAACAGAAATACGGTGGCAAGCAAGCAGAGACAAACAAGCAGGGAAGCGACGGTTAAGGGCAGCGGAGGCTGGATGTGAGCAGATGCAACTTTGGTTCAGGTGAGGACTGAAAGTTCAGGTCAAAGGATCAGCAGAAGTTGACAAGGCTTCCTACACAGCTCAGCATTACCTATTCTGACTGACAGTGACTCTGTAGGTTTCAGATAGGAGTATTCCCCATCTCTAGAGATTCCATGGAGGGAACCTGGAGCTTTCAGCAAAGCATGGGCGTCCCCACTAAGCTATGGCTGCCCAAGAAGACTCTCCGCAGAAGCGAATGAGGAAGCCAGCATGTGCTAGGGCTCAGTGCCACTGTTCCCTTCCTCAGAGAGATTTCCCCACAGTAACTGAGCAAATATATGTCAACCCTGCCTCATTCAATGGGGCAAAACTGTGATCCCCAGTCTCCATTGTTTATCCTCAGAAAACTGTGGATACAACACAATTACCAGAAGTACAACAACAGAATTCTGCAATGGCATGAGATGTACCAGGGTTATAACCCTTATCGTCCGGTTCTCACATTCTTCTGATGAACTGGCACCAGGATGCTGTCTCTGCAGCAATTGGGGTTTACAAGCCCCTAACCTCTGACACACTTTCTAGGAAGCCCCCAACAGCTTTTCTCATGGGGGCAATAAACGTCTTACTTCCTCCCAAAGATGCATTCATTTAAATTTAATGTACACATTTTGGCAAACGCACATCGGGAATTAGCTTTCCCTTTGCCGATTTAACAGCTGGTTGAGGGTTTGGATTTTTGTGTCAGGTGTTTCATAGAAAAAGATCCTCTATTCCCCAAATCTAAGCATTGATGATAAAGAGGGAGGAAAATCACAACGGCTGATAACCAAGCGTCTGCAAGTCGTGACATTGCGCAGATCCATTATTTAGTAGGATACCGCGTAGGGGCGAGGGGGCGGGGCGGGGCGGAGGCTGGGGCTTCCCTTCTCAGCACAAGCGGCTCACCACACGCCGCTGCCACCACTAGGCCCGCCAGCCCCTCACCTCCCTAGCCGGGCGCGCAAAGATCCAGGCGGGCAGCCGGGGGCTTTGCTGCTGCTGCTGCAGAAGGCGAGCAGACGGCGGGCGTCTGGCATCCCACCCTGCCGCGTGGATGATTGACACTCCGGAGGATGGCTCGACTTTTCCACGCGCGGAGCCTAGCAGCCAATGAGCACGGCCAAGGGCGGGCCTTGCTATCCGGAGCAGCTGCTACTTTAGACTCGCCGGTGCTGCCGAAGGGAGACCAGAGCCGAGAAGGACCGGGCAGGGGAAAGGGTGCAGGAGGGAGAGCGGGCGCGCATGCCAGTCGGGACCCTTGGACGGCGGGTGCCCAGGAGGAGGAAGACCTGGCGCGACTCCTCGTCGTCCGCAGCGGCTGCCCCCATGGCGAACAGAGGACTTTAAATGAGTTCGGGGGCTTTGGCAGGATCTGGGCGATTCCGGGTACGCAGAGGGCGAGCACCGCAGACGGACGGATTTCTTTTTTCTTTATTTTTTCCTCCCCAGCATCCGCCCCGTCGGGGCTAAGCTGCTTGGAAGGTCACGGCCGAGGCATCGCTTGGGGTCAAGGGGGAAAAGGGCAGCGCCACTGCCTCTCCCGCTCCGGAGCGGCACATTGTTGCAACTGGAAGCGAGAAGACTGCCAAGCTTCCTCGGAGGAGTGAAGCGAGAGGCGGGGAAAGAAGCGCCGGAGACAAAGGGGAAGCAACTCTCCGAGCCCTGCACTCCCCGCCTGGCTGTTCCTTCTGCGATCGCTGTCCCGAGCAGCGCTGCCTTTGCGCACCGCCGCGGGGGATCCGTAGGATCGAGCGCGCGGCTGGAGGCTGCGGGGTAGCCCAGGCAGCGGGGTAGCTGCTGCGAGCCACCTCGGGGGGCCCGGCTCGTGCGCGCTCCGAGAGGCCTGCAGCGGCTGAAGCAGGCAGGCGGGTGGGTGTGTTAGGGAAAAGCGAAGCGAGAGAAAGGGAGCGGCGTCTCTCCTCTACGAAGCAGAGGCGCGGAGGAGAAGCCACCTCGCCTGATCCCTTTCGGCGTGCGCGCCTGACGTTTTGCTGCGCGGGCTGCTTGCGCGGACTCTTCTTTCTCACTCCTCTCTTTCCCTCTCTCTCTTTCCCTCCCGTCTCGCTCAGATCCGGCGATTCTTGCTCTCGCCTCGCCCTGTCATTGATGGGAAATCAACTGGATCGCATCACGCACCTGAATTACAGCGAGCTGCCGACCGGGGACCCCTCTGGCATCGAGAAGGACGAGCTGCGCGTCGGGGTGGCTTACTTCTTCTCGGATGAGGAAGAGGACCTGGACGAGCGAGGAGGGCAGCCGGACAAGTACAGCGTGAAAGGCTCCAGCAGCCCCGTCCAAGAGACCCCCACCCACCACCATCATCCCCACCACCACCATCACCACCACCACCCTCCGCAGCTGGTGCTGAGCGAGACCCAGTTCTCCGCCTTCCGCGGCCAGGAATGCATCTTCTCCAAGGTGAGCGGAGACCCCCAGGCTGGGGATTTGAGCGTCTACCCGGTGGCGGCCCTGCCTGCCTTGTGCAAGCCGGGCGACCTGCTGGAGCTGCTGTACCTGGGGCCGTCCGACCACCCTCCTCCTCCGCCACACTGGGCAGTCTATGTGGGCAGCGGGCAGATCATCCACTTGCACCAGGGCCAGATTCGCCAGGACAGCTTGTACGAGGCGGCCGCTGGCAACGTGGGCCGGGTGGTGAGTAGCTGGTACCGCTACCGCCCCTTGGTGGCGGAGCTGGTGGTGCAGAACGCCTGCGGCCACCTGGGCTTAAAGAGCCACGAGATCTGCTGGACGAACTCGGAGAGCTTCGCCGCCTGGTGCCGCTTCGGCAAACGGGAGTTCAAAGCCGGCGGCGAGCTCCAGCCGCCCTCGGGCTCCCAGCCCCGGGAGCAGCAGTACTATCTCAAGATCCACCTGGCCGACAACCAGGTGCACACGTTGCGCTTCCAGAGCCTCGAGGACCTAATCAGGGAGAAGCGCAGGATCGACGCCAGCGGCAAACTGAGAGTGATCAAAGAGCTGGCCATCGTGGATGGCAAAGAGTGAAAAGGGGGCGCCTGGGTGGGTGGGGGTCACAGCAGGGAGAGGCCAGCTTTGGTCCGGCCGGCGTGCCCCACCCGGACTCGTCCCCCCGCCACGTGGGTGGCCGCCCTCTTTCTCTCTCGCTCTCCCCCGCCCCACTTTCCCTTTCCGTTCTGTTCCATCGAGGGGAAAAACCATGGCAACATTCCAAGCGAAACCAGCGCCGCTCCTCCTCTCATTGGCCAGTGCTCGGTTCGCCTCCGACTAACACGATCACACTAGTGATATCTATCGAAGACGAGGATGCGGGCGGCGGAAAAGCGGGCGGGGGGGTGGGAGGGAGGAGCGATGCAGTTAGCAAAAGTATGCGGACAAAGTCACTCCTGGCTATCGATGTTGATCGTAGCTCCCAGCGTGCTTAATAAAATTTCAAATTGATTTTTCTCCCCCTTTTTTAAAAAAAGCGTTCATGACTTTAATCCATAAGAAGAGTGGCTGAGATTTTTTATATATATACTTATTTTATTATTGATAAGCAAATCCTTGGTTATCTTAGCTGATTTCTTAGGGTTTGATGGTTGACTCAAGGTGTGTGTGTGGTTTTTCCCTCCAAGGTGATTTAACAGCGGTTCTGGGCATGGTGCGTTTACTCAGGAGTAAACCCCCATTGAGCTCACTGGGATTTGCTCTGAAGTGTGCATAGTCTCATTGAACACAGTGGGACTTACTTCTGAGTAAGCATATGCAAATATGCACTGTATGGCTGTCATCCTATGCTCAAATCATCTTTGACTAAGCCCGGGTTCAAACTCAGTGGGACTTTCTATTTAACCTTTGTTCAACCCTCTTTAACACCATCAACCACCCTATAGTTACTGGTGTTTTGCTTTTAAAGGGGGGGCAGGTAATTCTACCCTTCCTTTCCTGCTTTTAGTGGATGCTCATGGGTGAAGTAGAGATTCTAATTTGTGTTAATGACTGTGAGAGTACAGAGCCAAGTGGTGGTATTTACTCCAGTTTAATTAGTATGATCTTCAAGGGTGTCATTCTGTGTCGGATTATTGGACCAAGCAGGGAAGGAGCGAGGGTGGAGTTTCATGCTGAACGCTGTAGTTCTTCCTTGGTGGCCAGCCATACAACCAGTGCTACAATTACAGGGAAGGAAGAGGAGCAGAGAGAAACCAGCTCAATGTCTTTACCTTTTTAGGATCCACCCCATTCCACTTACTGGTTTGAAGAGGCTGTGGGAGGATGCTTTAATGAAAAATGAGGCTATTATTGTTTCTTTATTGCCCACAAGGAGCTCAAAGTGTGAGCGATTCCCTCCCTCCTCCATTAACCTCCACAACGACTCTGAGATTGGTTAGGCTGAGAGACAGTGACTGGCCCAAGGTCATCTAGTGAGTGGGGATTTGAACCCTGTTCTCCCAGATCCCAGTCCAATGCTCTGGCCAGTGCACCACACTGGCTCTCAATGGTCTGCCTTCAGGAATGGAGACAAGGTGTCTCAGAATACCAGATGCTGGTAACTGTAAGTTGAGAGGGCGCTACTGTGGTCATGTTGACATCCCATATGCTTCTGACTGGCCATTGTAAGAACAGATATCTGGATTAGATGAGCTTTTGGCTCAATCCAGTGGGGTCATTTTTATGTTCTGATTCAGGGAGTCTAAAGGGTTTTTATATTGAGGCCCTTGCATGCCTTCCCCCTCTCCAACAGGGATAGCCAATGTCATGCTTTCCAGATGTGGTTAGGTTAGAACTCTTAGCAAACTTGACCACTGGTCATGGCTGATGGGAGCCCAGCAACTACGGGATGGAAAGAGCCTGCAGGTAATCTAGTTTTAACCATCACCCACAGTTTCAATAGAAGCAAAGTTCACAGTGCAATCCTAGACATGTCTACTAGAAGGAAGCCCCAATGGGACTTGCTCCTAGGTAAGTGTGCATAGGATTTGAGCCTTGGATTGGTACCCTAAAAGAGAGATCCCATAATCAAGTGAGAAATGAAATAAAGTGGCATAGATTTGGGCAAGGGAACAAAGTTTCCACAGATGTTTAGAGTACACACTGTAGGGTGTTTGTGTGTGACTTTTTAAAACAAAGATGCACCCAGGGCCTTAAACTGCAACTGGTTTTGTGATGACAGGATTGTGCGTAAATGTTGATGCCTCCCTCTCATTGAAAGTGAGGGTGTTAAAATACTTTTGGCAAGCCTATGTGCCCTTTCCTGTGACTAAGCCCCATTGAACACAGTGGGGCCACTGAATCAACATGCCTAGGACTGCAATGCACGGTTGCAGTCCCTCTCCACAATTAGTTAGTTACCTGTGCGAATAATCCTGCAGATCTGCTTCTGCAGTGTTCCCTGTACACTAATGCTGCCCTCTGCAATACTTAGCACTGACCTTTTTCTGTTGAGTGTCAGGAGTTGGGAGCTGGTGACTTGTCTGCTTTTCTGGAGGCCAGATCCATTCTCGAAAGAAAAATATGTACTGTAGTACTTGATGCACATTGCTCCAAGTGGGAGAACTTCCACGATTTCTGCTGGTTAGTCCTCTGCCTTCGGTTAGCCTACTATGCTTAAGGGGTTTGTGGACCTATGCAGCTTTGATCTCCTGCATATTACCCAGCCGTTGTACAACTACAGTACTAGCACTGTGTGTTGCTATATTCTTCTCTGCCTCCACAAGAATACTCTACAGGGAGGCAGAGGGAGGTGAGTACATTTCAGACAATAGCTGTTCATTATTTATAGTTCCACGTTGACAAAGCTGTAAATAGATTGGGGCTGAGTTTGCTCAAAAGTCAAACCCAATGTATACAAACCTGATTTGGTTACATTTATAAGGCTGGGAAATGTATCCCAACACTAGAGGGAAAGCTTATTCATTTGTTTCCCTGTCAAATCCTTATTACGGTTTGTTTAGCATTACACTTTGGTGCGGACAAGGAAGCCGGGAACGTAAAGATAATAAAATATTCTGCAATCCAGTGTCCCATACATTCCAAATGTATTCAGTACCAACCTGCATATTTTGTAGGGATAAAATCTATTGTGCATGATAGTATTTTATTTTATTTTTGAAGACACACACACACACACACACACACACACACACACACACTCAAACAGAGCAGAGAAGAGAACATTGAAATTCCTGAATCCATTCACTCCCTCTTTTATGCAATATTGCTTGGGTTTTTTTGATACTGGCAAGCATCCTAGGAAGTCTTATTTCAAAACTGTATCATTGGTTGCCCAATGGCTAGCTTCCTGGACTGTTGTTATAGAAGTGAACAGTTGGATGTGCTGGGGAGGGGGGAGGTCAGCACTGAGCATCTGTGGGGAGAGGTTACAATTACTCTAATGCCGTCTGCGTAAGTGGTTTTCATATAGTCTGATGAAGTTGTTAAAAGAAAACTAAGAGTGGGAGTTTTTTAAAAGCTTTTGACCTCCGCACATCCCACGGAGTTAAATGGGGCAGAGCTGTTGATTCATACACGCGTGTGGCTTCATAACAGCAACACACAATTGACTTGCATGGGCGAATGAGCCATTGCAGATACGAAAATGTGTCGCTGTTTGAAAAACACAAATGTTTTTCAATTTTGAGTGATCAGAGATGCACCGGTTACTTAGCCGACATGTGAACTACATTTGGCAACGGAGTACATGAAAGGACTATCAAAGCACTGTGTTTGAGGTGATACTAATATTTTATTTTTGGCAATAGATCTGTATTTTATTTTGGCATTCTTTCTGCGACAGTTCCTCACACATGCAATTGTCACTGGATTCAGCCACCTTCTGCCTGAGTGTGCACATGTGAACCAGGCCTTGCTCCCTGATGGGTGTGCAAAAACTTGAAGACGGGAAAACTCCTTATCTCCCGCCCCCATTAATGTGTGACTGTCATCGACTGAGGTTGAGCCAGCTATGTCCTGGGATAACTGTTATGTGCTTAAATAGCTTCAGAAACTGAAGTATTCTGAGAAGTATTTCTTCATGTCACACAGGATAGACAGATATCTGCTGGAATAGCTGGCAAGCTTCACCATCAAACTCTATGACAGCCACTGGAGGACAGCAATGATCTTATGATAAAGATCAGCAGAAGCCTTCCCATTCCATATCATTTTAGGAAGATAGGAAGGTGTCTCTTTTACTGAGCAGGATCCCTGGTCTGTGTATCTCAGTGTTGTCTACTGGGACAGCCACAGCTCCCCAGGTTTTCAGATGGGCATCGCCCTGCTGTACCAGCTGGAGATTGCAATCTGCATGCACAGCAGATGTTCTGAACTACATCCCTCAGGTGGCCTTGAAACAGAAAGCATGCATGCTGTGAGTTATTGAACTGTTGCAGCTTTGTAGCGGTCTAGTACCTTCCTCCCTCTGAGTAGAAATATCTGTATGGTTGCATGAGGTTGCTGCAGTACCACACACCGGTATATTGAGATGCCTGTCATTTTTCCAATAGGGGTTTGCTGTTTGTTAGGCTGTTTTCCAGCTGAGTTCATAGGGTTTCAGCTTTCAGCCCTAGGAATCTTCTGATGGAGCTTCTAAGTAATTGCTGGAAAGAACGTTTGTGTAAATGTGGCGAGGATCAGAAGTGTGTATTGTGCATTTCATGCATGCTGTCTTATGTGGTGATGTGGATCACAGCCTGCTAGCAATTTTGAACAAGTGGGACCTGCATCAATGAGCTGTGCCAAATTCCTCCCCCCTTTTAATTTTAATTAAAGTTTTCAAATGTGCATTTCCCGCATTGAATATGCACCATTGTAATAATACATTCACCGACTTTCTTTCTTTCCCCTCCCATTGTTCTTTCAATTTCCCCATAATCTCTGCTTATTCTGATAAAACCATTTAGTTTAGTTTCCTCCCTTAAGTGGAACAACTTTCGCTTGCACAATGGGACTTTGCCCCTCTCTTCCTCCTGCGCATTCCCTGTAATGTCTCCAGATCTGTTCCAGATGGTTGGGGGAACCATTGGAACAAATTTATCAAGCTTATGGGAGAAGGGGGTATGTTCCACTGCAAAAGACGAAGTCATTCTGCTTGTGCAAGAAGTTACTTGACTCTATGTTGGATGCCACCTGTGATATATTGCGGAATGCTTCTGTTCAGGGTTCCCTTCCTTCCATTATGTTCCCTCTTCTACACAGTTTTATCTCATTGTGTACACAAGTCAATCAGCATTCCATGCCCACTGAGCATGGCTCAGTCCCCATTTTGCAGTTGTTGGTTTTTTTTGGGGGGGGGTTCCACCTCTGAAGACTTTTCTATGAAAGAGTGTTTGTGCTTCTGCAAACCCAAGTCTGCTCATACCCCTCCTTTTCATGTGTGAATGGTACCATTTTGGCTACATAAACAATGGGACAAGGATAATTAAGATTGCTATATACAAGTAGAACCCTACAAAAAGATATTGATATGGTGGAAAGTTCCAGACTTTTTACCCCCCTCCTCAACAGCATTTCATGTCCACTGAGCATGCTCAGTTGTCACTGGCCTTTTTTGTGTGGGGCTAGCTCTTAGTTCTTATTTTTTGAGGGGGGTGGTATGAACACATTGGTCCATCCCAGCTGCATTATAACATTGGATTTCTGTCTTGATTTCTATAGGTGGCTCTCACTTCCATACCTGAGGACATTTAAAAAACTAGCTCAGCACTAGGAAGTAACCCATCCAGACAATTAAGTGGTTCTAAAGTTATATATATGTCTTTTCTTCCATCCTTCTGTCTCAGCCACTCCATTCCACAACCACTCACCTTTATCAATCAATCAATCAGCATTTCATGCCCATTTAGTCTTCATTGGGTTTATCCCATAAATATTTTTTTACCTCAACGAAAACATGGGGTTGCCCCATGTCTGCTGCTTGCCACCTCCCTCTTCTGTGTGGGTGACACAGATTTGGCAACTTTGGTTTCAGCGTGCTAAGTCTTGAATTGCAGATAGAAGGAATATTGGGTGCCCATTGCATATTGTACTGTTTAAATGCAGAGAAGGGAATACTTTTGTAGGATGGCATGCTTGACCTTCTTTGTGGTCATTTTGGGGTTATAGAACATAATTATTGCTTACATAGAGCCGTGCATTCATGAGAGTTCCCCTGAAAGTCACTCATCACATGGCGAAAAATACAATGGGAAATGTGCCACAAGTATGCCAAGCATCACTTTGGCTCCTGTCTTTGTCATGGAACAGATTTGCAGGATGATTCCCACAACTGACTTATTTGATCCTGTGGCATATGGCTAGAATGAGACTATGACTTAAAGCACAGGACTTCCCTCAAGGAATCCTGGGAGTTGGTAAGGGAGCTTGGAACTGTAGTTTGGTGAGTTCCCATGATTCTTGGGGGGAAGTCATATGTTTTAAATGTATGGTGTGGAAGCAGCCTGCATTTCTATCCCCACTTACTTAGGAGTTTGTGCTATTGTACCCAACATTGCTTACTTTTTGAAAACACGTGAGAGGGGAGGCTGGTCCACAATTTTGCTTGTCCCATCACTTTCCCCTGGAAAAAGCTGAATAGGAAACTGCTCTTTACTGCTGAATCGGAGAAAACAGCAGAAAGGTTTTCTGTGGATTGATGCTTGCTCCGATTCTGTGCTAAAGAGGAAGGCTTTTCAGAGGGAAGCAATGGGGCAAATGGAAAACTGCTCAGCCCCATACTTTCTAGGAATGGGACTATGCAAGTGTGGATGAGCCCTGACTTTGGGTCAAACTAGACATTACTTTGTGTGTGATTACCACCCACTTCTGGGTGGTTGTTTCTAAAATTATAATACTAGGTGTGGGGGGGACGACGACGACAATTTTCACCAGAACCACAGGGTACAGGAAGTGGAGGCATAACCCTTCTCTTCCAAGCTGCAGCCCTGAAAAATAATTGCCACCCATGTTGTAATTAGCCTTAGGGGAGAAAGTGAAGGGATCCCTATGGCAAATCGTAGCACCTGGGGCAAACTTTGTTAAGACCATGGCAGGGGAGGGAAGAGTTAATCCTCTCCTTCATGTGTGTTGCAGCCTCAGTTAAAAATGCCTCCCATATATTGAAGAACATGAGAAGAGCCCAGCTAGATGAGGCAAAACATCCATTTAATGTAGCATGCTATACCCATAGTGGCCAACCAGATGTCTATGGGATGTGAGTGCGACAGCATTCTCTCTCTTAAAATCCCCTGCATGTGGTAATCAGAGGCATACAACCTCCGATGCAGGAGATAAATGCAGTCATCATGGCTAGTGACCATTATCTTCCAGGAATTTGTCTGGTCCTCTTTTAAAGCCATCCAAATTGATGACCATCTCTACGACTTGTAGGAGCAAACACCGTAGTTGAACTACGTATCCACCATAATTCGAACTATGCACCGTGTTTTGTCTCTCCTGAGCCTGTGCACAATTAGCGTTACAGCTCGTTTGTTAGAGAAGCCATTCTGCTCATGCTCAACTTTCAATGTATAATAAAAAAGCAACAGACTTGACTGAGCCGTCAGCCTGACTCTGTTCCACATCCAGACAAGTTGATCTGGTTCCAGTGGCTTAACTTTTACCCCATTGGCACTAATTCAATAGAAATCGGGATACCCTGGTTTGTGTTAAGTTAGATTTCCATACGCTTAGAAGTTAAGCACATGTTTGAACGCTGTGAGCATTTTATGACCAAATCCCTGTACTTCAGCTAAGGAAGAGATTGCAAGATGGCAGCAATGCAGCAGTTGCATTGAAATGGGACTATATCTCCTCATTTAGCCTTGGCCTGCACAATTTGTGACTCGCTTAGCCAGACAAAGCCCTCTGGCTGTGCATGGTGGCATCCTATCAGGAGCTGTATAAAAAGCAATGAAGCTGTCAGGCATCTGGGAGGCTACAATATATTCATTCACCTTGGTGTAATACAATTTTTGCAGGATGGATTTTAACCCCATTGAATATGGTGGGTGATATTCAATGGGAAGCATACTCAGAGTTACACCCATTGAAATCAGGGTGGCTATAGAAGTTAAGTCTATTGGTTTCAGTGGGTCTACTCTGAGTATGACTCT